ACCCATTCGACTTTCGCCCCGTGCCCGTGCTCCGTGCCCCCCNCCCCCGCCGCCCCCGACCCCCGTACCCGTCTCCCCAGATTTCCATACTTTGCCCCGTTCTGCTCTTTTTCTCATAATTATTAGTACGCAATTAGATCACGGATCAATGCATCTTGAGAGGCCACTCGTCCCGCGTTGCCACCTAGTCATAACCTCACTTTTTTCACAGGTGAGAATAGTTTCGATCGACATGAACTGATCTATATTGATCGATCGATACTTGCAAGTTCAGTCGATAATGAACCACTAGAAATAAGTCTGAACTAGAAGTAACGTTTAAAATCTGACGTGGAATTCGAGCCTCGAATAGTCCTAAATTCACTTTTTTGAGGTGATCGATACTTGCAAATTTCATCGATAATGAGCCACTAGAGATAAGTCTGAACTAGAAAAAATGTTTGAAATGTAACGTGGAATTCGAGCCCCATGTGATCCTAAATTCACTTTTTTTGAGGTGAGAATAGTTTCGATCGACATGAACTGATCGATATGGATTGATCAATACTTGCAAATTCAATCGAAAGTGAGCCACTAGAAATAAGTTTGAACTATAAATAATGTTTAAAATCTAGCGTGGAATTCGAGCCTCATAGTCCTAACCTCACTTTATTTAAGGTGAGAGATGTTTCGATCGACATGAGCCGATCAACATTGTAATAAGCACACTACAGTCACTGAAATGAACGTCGTAGGCTGTCAAAATAAAAATATGTTTGATATTTGAGAAGATTCCCAATTTGTCTATTTGCCTGCGACCGATACATACCTCTTTAATTGATAGTATAGGCCCCTAGATATGATCTGAACTGAAAATATTGTGCAAAATCTAACACGGAAAACAATTAACCGAATCGAAAGTCTAGAATTTTACTCGAGACAAAGATTTTTAACCTATTTTTAACATAGATTAAAAGGAAGGTAGGCGATAAAAATGACATAATTTATATTTTTGCCCTTCAATTGAGAGCACATGTATCTTGTTTAGGAATTGATTTTCAGATTTCCCGTTTTTCGATTCCTTTCCGTCGTGAAATTTCGAAGTGTTTTCACTCGTACCTTATTGTCTAGAGACCCATCGGACTGTTTTCGCATTACTAGCTCATAAACAACGTACAGACGAAGAAATTGTAGACCCTCGGATCTCTTTTTGCAGACTTTCTGTCGTACTTTATTCTCTAAACAGAAAGCCGCACTCAACGTAATTCACTGAAAACTTTATTGAGTTTCCTCTGTGTGTGAAAAATATTCTGTGAACATTTCAAGTCGTGATGTCGATCTTCTTTGTTCTTCTCTGAAAGAAAATAATAGGAGCGAAGATTTTTCAACCTCGCAATTGATGTATACATTTCTGTAGTTCACCGTCGATATGAGTCATTAGTTTACTTCCGCGGATGGGCGTTTTTATATGTAAACTAGAGATTTGAGGTGGTGCTTCATTGCAAAATCACATCCCAATCGGACATCATTCTTAAGCAAAATCAGCGTAACTCCATCAAACGTTGCCTAGGAATCTGCATGGTTTATTTCTTCACAAAAAACTAAGCAAAATCTTGACCAAAAAATTTTGTGAGTATGCCTCCTGAAAACCTCAAAAAAATGTTAAAATGTTAAGATATCCTTGATCCATGTGAAGCGCACATGTTTGAAACTCGGCCACACGTACACAAATCTAATTTTTGACTAATTATTTATTCAAAACTACCGATTACTCCCCTGAAGTTCTTTCACGGGTAATTGTATTAATCTCAATTTCCATGGAGAATCCTTTTCCCCGTAATTTCTTGCAAACTGGAGGATCTTTTTTTACGGACTGAAAGTCAATTCTACTATACCACCACGCTAAGTAAGAACGCCATATGAACATTCTAGAGTTGCCAAATTGCTCTGGATAAAACATGTATTTTTGAGAAAGATTATAAGTATTTTTCCTTGAAATTTGCAGACTTTTTAGACAAAATTGCGAACAAAATTGCCTGAAAAAAACTGAGAAAAACACTCATAATTTTCCCAGTAAATTAGGTTTTTATTGAAGGAAATTTGACAACGTCTGAAGGTTGTTTATACGGCGTTTTTCCTTAGCACGGCAGTATACTACCATGCCAAAAAAAGACATCATGAGAGCAATCGCATGTTGACAAATTGCCTCCTGTAAAATTTTTATTTCTTAAAAGGAATGTACATATTTTCTTTGACATTTCCAGGAACGCCAGATTGAATTTTTAGTATTTTTTTTTAAAAAACCCAGGGAAAATCATTCATGAATTTTCTCTAAAATTCACATTTAATCAGAGGCACTTTGGCAACACCTCCATGTTCATACGCCGTTTTTCCGGAACACGGTGTAACGACTTTGTTCCATCTCAAAATCTGTAAGATGCCAGTTAAGCACATTTTGTCGGCGTTCCTCCAGTTCTTCTCCTCCACGTCTTTTCATTCGTAGGCTCATTTACATAACTGCATAACTGCTTTCATTGAAAACGTTGTTTTCTCAAATTAAAGAGGGAGTTTGGTTTGCGGAAACGTGATTAAAACTGCGAACGACGATGGGAGTAACTGATTTACGTTAATGCTCTTCATTCTAAAAAGAATCGTCCTGGGTCATTTTTAGAGTATCATAAACTTTGAAAAATGTACCTCGTTAATTGTAAGAGCTTTGCAAGCCGATTATACCGCACGCACTTTTGAATACTAAGTAAAAATTACCGCAATATCAAATATAAAGATTAAATGAGGAAAAATACTGGTGACAATACTTGTTTATTTTAAAGGAGTGTCTTTTAGGAATGAAGAATAAAAACAATTCTCTAATTTTCGGATGAATCCCTCAGTAGGCCGGCCAGGTTGGCCTAGTGGTCAGCGCGTCTGACTCTAGGTCAATAGGTCCCGGGTTCGAATCCCGGTGGTGGCGTCTAATTTTCACGGAATTGACGAGTAGATCTGCTGAAACAGATTCTCCTCGGCCCTAATCCCTGAAAATTAGAAAAGCCTGGAGCATGGAGCCTGATGTCTACGGACACTAAACAATGTCTANAAAAAAAAAAAAAAAAAAAAATCCCTCAGTAGAATGCTTGCATTTTTTCATCATTGAAGTCTCTTCAAAAGACGGCAAGGAAGAAAAAGAAAAAAAGGAAGAGGAAAAAAATAAAATAAAATAAAAATTATGATACAATTAAAAATTAGATCCCACATATCTGTAAGAAAAGGACGCACTTCCCTAGGATTATTTTTTTCAGGAATGTTCTTCTTTCTTTATTTGTTGTCAAGTTATGAAAGTTATGTTGTGTCCAAAGTCGACTACTTGAAAGAAAGGCAAGTAGACTTTAACGCGCCTTACAAGCCTTTAACCCCTTAAATGTCTTTAATATAATTAACCCGAAAAGTTAATGTTTTCATATATTAAAATTGCATTTATTTCTCCTATCTCCTCCTACCTTCAGGAAATAATTTTTTGCACATCTTTACCGCTGAGGTTTTTTAATTACGTGATATTAATTTCAAAAGTGTAAATCTGGTCGATGTCGCATCTGAAAGTAGAGGAAAATCAAATAAAAAATCCGATATTCAAAGGGATGCCAATGTTTGCAAGGATCTATTATTCAGTGGGTTGACTGAAATAATTGACTATGACACTTCCATTGAAAACTGCCAACTTCAATTTTCATTAAACCTATCCACAAACGGCAAACATTATTTTAAAAAAGTGCAGCCTCAAGGGTTAAATAACTGAAGGATATGAAACAACTAAACGAAAGTATTTGTATAAAAATATTGTGAACAAATCCGGTTCCAAACACATATCACAAATGCAAGTCATTACAGATTTAGTATTCTAAAGCGTTAATTCCCTCTTACTCAAAACTTTCAGCCGAAATGAATGGCGATTTTGATTTTCTAAATGTGAGAAAAAAGCTTTAAGTAAAAATTATCTGACACGCGAGAACATTCATGAAAAAAAAAAAAAAAAAAAGAACGGCAAAAATAGTGCTTCCCTAGAAATTTTGAAATCATCTTTCGCGGCACTCAGATATAAAAACCACCAAAAAATATACACAGGGAAAGAGAAATGACAATTTGGGAAGGCATCCTGATTACATTGGGTTGTCACACTTTCTTCCTCGATAGTGAATTTTGGAGACTAAAATACTGCAAAAAAAGAAAGAAAAAATAGGATAGGAGGAGAACACAGCAGAAAATTGAAGTCCGCTTAAATTTTACGGCTCGTTCATCATAAACGTGTCATATACGAGGTGGGGTTTTTTTTCAATTGTATTTATTTATACAGAGAATAAAGAATATTGAATTATTTTACACAAGAGAAAGAACAAAAATAATAAATAATAAAAAAAAAGCTTTAGAAATTTGAGCAAAGTCTTAGCTTATTAGTAATTCCCTACAGGACCTGTTTAGTTTGATACGAGTTAATTTTGTACACGATAAGGACATTGAGTCATAAATTTTGAAAATTTTGAGATTTGAGGTAAAAACTGTTGACTTTTGGTTAGAGAAAAACAATCGATACGGGATTTAAAAAACGAAAGTAAGTAATAAATGAAAGAACAAATTTCAAAATTTAAAAAAAAAATTCCATGCTAAAAACCATTTATGAAAACGATGAATTTAAATTCAAAATTCCCTAGCTACATTGGTTTTATAACCCTTATCCCTACAATACAATTGAGCTTTGGATAAACTTGCATGAAAAAAGGGCAAGAGGATAAAAAATGGGGAGGGGGCAAAGAAGAAGAAAAGAAGATTTTGAAGTACGCCCAAAGCTTGCGGCTGATTATAGTATAAAAAAGGTAAATATTTTTAGAGGTGGCTTATTATTTAAATATTTTGAAGATAAGGGAGAGAGTGATGTGAGTGGTGACTTGTAAGATCACGAAACAATTGTCATCCGATCAAAGAGAGAAAGAAACAAACAAAAGGAAGGGATGAAAAATTTCCACGTGACTTACCGGTGAAATCAGACGAGACGGCGAACGCGAAAAGCACGAGAAGTAACACGCGAGATTCCATTGGACCAGCATGCCGACTGAAGTCACGGCGAATACTAACCCTCGAGTCCACAACCCCTACGCGAGATCTACCCCAAAGTCAGGGAACGCGCCGCAGCGCAGCGCCTCCGATCTCCCCGCCTTCTCCAACCAACCCTGTTGCCGGCCCCCGCATCGCCCACCCATCAATCTTGTGGAGCTGATCATGAACCGAACGCATTGCTAAAGTTCCTTCATGGATGGAACCAGTTCATCGGAATGGAACCAAGTAACGATATTTGTTTATTTTAAAGGAGTGCCTTCTACACTGGATAAAAACCACATTGGATCTATAGATAGAGTCCAGACTCTTGAAAACATTAACAAGAAACAGGACTCTTGATTCAATCAGATTCAAGCTTAAACCAAAAGGAAATCCGCTCAAATTACGAGGCTTGGTTCTTGATTTAAGCTTAAATCTGATTGAATCAAGAATATTTTTTCTTGTCGATGTTTTTAAGAGTCTGGATTCTGAATCCAATGTGTTTTTTTTTTCCAGTGTAGGAATGAAGAATGAAAACAAATCTTTAAATTTCGGATGAATCCCTCAGTAGAATGCTTGCAGTCTCTCCAAAAGAAAACAAGGAAGAAAAAGTAATGCTCATGGAACCAAACGCATTGCTAAGGCTCCTTCAAGGATGGAACCAGTTCACCAGAATGGAACTAAGTAACAATATTTGTTTATTATAAGGGAGTGCCTTCTAGGAATGAAGAATGAAAACAACCCTTCAAATTTTGGATGAATCCCTCAGTAGAATGCTTGCAGTCTCTTCAAAAGGAAACAGGGAAGAAAAAGTAATGATCATAGAACCAAACGCATTGCTAAGGTTCCTTCATGGATGGAACCAGTTCAGCAGAATGGAACCAAGTAACAATGTTTGTTTATTTTAAAAAAAAGTGCTTTCTAGGAATGAAGAATAAAAACAATCCTTTAAATTTTGGCTGAATCCCTCCGTAGAATGCTTGCAGTCTCTCCAAACAATACAAGGAAGAAAAAGTAATGATCATGGAACCAAACGCATTGCTAAGGTTCCTTCATGGATGGAACCGGTTTAGCAGAATGGAGCCAAGTAACTTGGGGAACGACCCATCTGATATTTTTTTCTCTTTATAGGAAAAAAATGAAAAAGAACTACTTGACTTCATCGTTTCTCAGACGGAGGAACGTAACTCGATACTAAGGTTGCTACTTGAAAAATAGACCATTGGACAAGGTGCAAATTTCAGCACTATGTTCAGCATATGTTCTCTCGTCAAAATTCAAGTTAAATACGATTTGATAAATGAAATTTACACAAAGTGACTCCTATCCAAGATATTAACGTTTTCTTATGCTTAAATTCAAACGTCCTCCTCATAAAAAACATTTATCTACATGAATTGAACCTTAGGTCTTTGTAGTAAGAACATATTGTAACCTAATTATCGACGCTTTGGCTCAACTATCGCACGTGGTTCACACCCTGGAGAACACAAGGTAAAAAAAGTAACGATCCCCTTTTTGAGAAGACTGTTAAAACCGGTGTGATGCGCGATTTTGGAGGGCGGACACTGCATCGATTTTCTAGGAGAGTGGAAAATTCAAGTTTTTTGGAACCAATGTCAAATGAAACGGTTAATATCTTACTTTGGAGTCAATATCAGTAATTTTCATCGCACGAATCGTGTTCTACTCGAAATTTTGAAGAGGAAACGTGAATAAAAATGCTTAAACTCGTACCTTGTTGGGTGGTCTATTCAAAATTTTACAAAATTATGACCGGGCAATACATATCAAAAATGTTGCAGATTTTTGCGTATAATCAAAGGAATATCGGGAAAATTTTTGGTTAGAAATACCCGATAAATTAGAGTAAAGATGCAATTTGCAACAGAACATTTTTGCAGCATTGCCATGTGGTTACGTACGTTTTATAGCACGTGGTAGAATAGTGCTGGGTTCCCTCCAAAATTAACTGTAATGATTTTCAGTGTAAGTTCGGGAAGACGGGTAAGGAAATATCGAGAGCATTAACTTAGTCTGATCCATTGAAAGGCTTTGCTAGGGTTCTGTGCAAAGACAAACACCGATTCGACTTTTACCTGTATCAATTTTCTCAATACTAGTGGACCAACAGTTTAAAGATATAAAACTACAGTTTATTATTTTTCTCATGGCATACAACTTAATTACTATATTTCAAAATGTGCGCCCGGCAATAGATTCACCCAATTGATAAATACATTTCAACCACTCAAACTGAAATGAAGGCAAGAAACACGAGAAACTTGACTTACGAATTTCAGTTCGCCTTCAACTCGGAGGGTAGGCAATATGCTTACGTAGGAGTTCGAATAGTTGCTGACTCGAAAAACGCTGCATCTTACGGAGTAGTTCTGAAGGCGTTTTTGATCTGTAGGCAGGTATGACCCATCAAAACTGCCGTGCCAAGGAAAAACGTCACTGGAGCATCTGAATGTTGCCAAATTCTATCTAATAAAATGTTATCAATTGATTAATCGGATACATGCGTATTTTATTTTAAAATGTTCAGACACGCTAAATTGAAAAGCAAATTATAAAATCTTTAAAAAGTCAAAAGCCAAATATTGAAAGTTTTTTTGTGGAAAATGTGTATACCGATAAGAGAAATTTTGCAATGTTCAAATGTTTCTTATCTAGATAGAAATATAAATTAATTTTTTTGACCTATTCATTATAACGATTGTGGCAGATATATTTTATGAAGCGTTTACGCTTTGTTTTAGCTAATTTTTGAACCGTCTGTTCAAACGTTGTAATAATTAATGCAAAAAACGAGAATATTCCTCTTGCGTATTTTTAAAATACCCAAGAGGAAGTCTCAGCAATGCTTTTTTCTTTAACACTCAATAACTGGAAAAATTGAGTGAGGAAAAAAATAGAGGAACATTCTGTGTAACCTTTAAATACATCGGAAAATCCATAAGTAAAGACTGACTAAAAATGCACAAATTCAGTCTTTTTAACATGTTTTACTTGCACTTCGTATGAGTTTCGCCCGCCCGAACCCTTACATAATGTGAAAAATCTCGCTTTTTTGTGAACTCATCAATTACTCATTAAAATTTACAGAAAAAGAACGTAAAATATTCGACTAAAACGTTGAACATCTGACATAAATAAAATATGTAATTACTGTGCCATAAAAAATCCAACAAAGGCGACACGAAGAGATAAATTTTAGAGTTAGAAAAAAAAATTACGGTATCAACAGCATTGAAGGTAGATACCGGGCCACTTTAAAATTTTCCGAAGAAAAATTCCTACAAAACTGTCTGGTTTATTGGTATAATATGAAATATTATTAAGATCCATTGCAAGGATTTATGAGAGTCACTCTGATGAATTTTACTGAGGCATCGTAAACATTGCTCTTTTCATTACACTACATTAGGTACATTCTTGAACCTCCCTCAATCGGAATTTATACCGCATAACACCTACCCAAAGATAGGAGCTGTATGCTGCCGTGCAGTAGCGTGGCGTGAATTGCGATATATCGATTGTTATACCATTTAAACCTATGGTAAAGAATCGATTATTGAGGTGTTCGCTGCGAACACCCTGTTCATCGATCCTTTTCTATAGGTTTAAATGGCATAACAATCGATACATCGCAATTCACGCCACGCCACTGCTGCCGTGCTAAGAAATAACGCCATATGAGCCATCAGAAGTTGCCAAATTTGTTGCTAAAAAAGAATTTACTGGAGAAATTGTAAATATTTTTTCCAAAATTTTCAGACAATTTTTTAGGCGATTTAATCTAAAATACCTGAAAATTTCACGGGAAAATATGCTTAAATTGCCTTAAAATTACATGATATGACAAGGAAAATTTGGCAACTCTTGAATGTTCACACGGCGTTCTTCCATAGCGAGGCAGTATGAGTAACGCCCATAAATACGGCGCTCAATATTTGACGGAGCCGAGAGGAATCAGAGGAGTCGCGCTGTACGCAAACAAGGATTGACTTGCCGAGGTTTCATAGCCCCATGGCTGGCACAGCACCTACATAAAGCACCGGAGAGAGAATGAAATTAGAAAATTGGTCGGGGCCGCCGAGGGAAAGGGGGGAGGG